TATATATATATATATATATATATATATATATATATATATATATATATATATATATATATATATATATATAGACAAACACACACACAGAAGGTATTATTCTACCACTAGGAAAAGCGATTACTCGGCACACTTTTCTTCTTTTAAGTAATATTCAACAGAAAATATTTTTCTTGATAATAGTCTTGGAATAGATCCATTATAAATTAAAATAAAAGCTCATTGTCATGCACTCAAGAAAAGAACTTAATCTTATAAAATATCGTAAAACTTTATTGAAGAAAAGGTTAATTCGACTCTATTTGGCAAGTATATATATAAGCTAAATTTTTGCTTGAATTTAATATTCTCAATTGTAACGCCAAGCTTACTAGAAATTAAAGTGTATTTTGAATGAAATTAATATTTACACTCTAAAAAAGACACCCAAAAATTTATTTGTGGGACATAAAGTTTGTTTTTCTGTGAAATACAGTTTATTACCGTGAATAAACTTTTTATCGTACCAACAAATTTTCAAGTATTTCTCGGTGTACAATGAACTTATGATAGGTTCGCGGATATATAAACTTGTGAAATATTTGGAACAAGTAACATTTCGAATGCAGTATGTGCACTTTTTTGTGTGCAGGAAAGTAAATTCGTATATTAATAAAATAGATATATATTTCGTAAATTGAGTTAGAGAGTAATCTCTAGTTTTCAAGTTACATGTGAATGTCCCGCCAAGCCGTCGTTCAACTAAAGTCGCGTTTGTGAATTTATAGGCAATATGGATTTGGCATATCGCGTCTTCGACGCATGTATATGTGCTGACTTTATCTATATAAATGCAAGATTATCAACAGTCAAGTAAAATTGTAAAGAGAATTGTAATAAATAACGATAATCGTGAACAATGATTTCGTCGGTCGCGCGAATTTATCTCGTATATTTGTCACGAGAAAATCGGTGAATTTAAACACGGAGAATATGTTACGCTACGTTGGCTATACGTTGCGTTATCGATTACAGCTATTCCCAAATGGTTATCTCTGTGATGTATTGTTAACCATAACGTCAAGTTTGACCGATTCGATCACATTTAGCGGGACATGTTAGGTCAAACGACAGATTAGGAACTCATAAACTCAAATCGCACGAAACTCAAAGTGTTAATTTTCTTTGATGGATTTCTTTTGCAATACGACAGTTACAACGTCGCTTTTATTTCATTATTCGTTAAGAGAAATGTCATAATATGCATATGTATTAATTTTCTCTCTTCACTGACAACTTCTTTTTTTCTTTGTGTGCTGCAATGTTAGATATTCTCGCGCGTGTTTTCCATGTGTTTCATCGCGTGAATATCCATGCGCCTTTCAACGCAACGACCCACGATCACGATTGAAATAGATCAACGTATTGCGATTTCGAGAGCCTCAAGAGGTGTTCAAGTGCCAGAGGCACTCTCGAGGGAGGCAGTTTCGCGAGGCTTTCGGCCCGGCGAATGAAAATATTTCGCGCGTGGTAGATAACGGCACACGTGATCGATTAGATTAACGCAGCTGCAATTTATGGAGGTGAAGAATAATGCTAACAACGCGCGAACGAGCAAACAATTAAAGTGAAAGCCATGAAGGTACGTTGAAGGACTAACATTAAAAAATTAATTGTATTGCAGCACGGATTATTTAAGTTCTTTTTTCTGATAACGCACGAACGCTGGAATGTTACTTTTGTTAAGATGTTTTGTCAAAAGTGTGCCAAACAAAAGATTCAATTTCATAATAATAATAATAATCTCAAATATCAATAGTCTAAAAAAATTTAACAATAACTAATAAATAAGTGTGATAGACATTTAGATTTTCTTTTTAATAATTCTCCAGTTTATCCGCGTACTAAGTTTTTGACAATTTACATTTGTCAAGACATTTTATCGAAAGCATTTTATGTCAAACAAAAAAGATTTATTTTATAATAATTTCAAATACTAATAACTTCTAAAATTCTTTTAATGGTAATAACTAATCAAGAAATGTGATAAAAATTTGTGGGTTTTCTTTTCAATAATTTTCCAGTTTAATACGCATATATTAAGTTTTTGATATTTTATATTTAAGATTTTACATTTGTCAAGATATTTTATTAAAAATACATAAAACAAAAGACTTATTTTATAATAATTTCAAATACTAATAACTGTGAAAAAATGTTTTAACAATAATAACTAACAAAAAAGTGTGACAAAAAAAGTTTCCTTTCTAATAATTTTCCACTTTAACACAAGTATATTAATTTTTCGACATTACAATATTCTTATACTCTTACAATATTCTTACAATACTCTCTGGATTGTGGTTGGAATTGCAAACTGATGTTGAACTCCCGCTCAAAGGTCAAGTAGTGGGTTAGAGGTATTTTCAGAGCTCGTGTCTCAATTGCATCGCGAATTCCTTGTGGCCTACTTCGCGTCGTTAAA